TGGATATGCCCATTAGGCGAAGTAGAGGGCTTATATTCAATTGAAGCCCAAACCTATTTGTTTATCCAAAACAAACCAAGAAGCTGAACCTATTTTGTTTGTACTTTCAGAATTTTCATCTCCCATAACTTAAAAACAAATTTAAATTATACATACATTATAAAAATACAAGTCTGACAGTCGCATTATATTGAATCTTGAATATGATCTACTATTATTTTTATTGTATTATCATTTTCTTCTATTTTTATTTTTTCATTTTTGATGGGTGAGTGGGTGTGGGGTAGGGGTGGGGCAACTCATAGAGTCACAAGATTTTTCTTAACTTAGACAAAGAATAAATACTAAAGAATAAACTGTGATTCCAAAGTACAAGCACATGATTGAATTTTGTATTTTGTCAATAAGGAAGGATTAAACTGTTAGAACTAACTAGAAAAGAAGTTTTACCTTATTTCACGTATAGTTTCCAAGTTATGACTTATGTATATTGTAGATATTCTCACCTTAATTTATGATTTAATCCTGATAAGTTAGTATAGTTTGATGTAAATATCAAATGCGGATAAATTTTTACATTCTTTTTCTCGCTCTTAACCCATATATTGTGCATCAAGTATATCAACCATATGTCACAATACATCAATTCTATATTTTTCATTTATTTATTTCACTTTGTTCTACAACTAACCTTTCAAAGATAGGAGATGTTATATATTGATACTATATTTGAGTTATCAACATAACATTATAGTAAAATATGTGATGGACTAACAAAAATATGATAGACAGATTTTATCACTTCCTCAGTATCAACAATATATATAACTTTTTTCTCAATATCACTAAAAAGAAAAGTTGAATTCCACTTACCAACTTGTTTGGATGGTTGTTACCTGTTGTATTGTATCGTACTGTTATTTTAATTAATACAATGTTTGTTTTGATTGTTACTTAAATTTTATTGTATCATATCATTAAATTTGTCGTTATGTAACGACGAAAAGTGTCACTTTATGGAACAACCGATTCGGTGTGGTCGTGTCGTTACCTTATTTTTTCTTTCATCTTGTCCTTCCTTATTATGAAATAATCTTAGTTTATCTTTTACCCTACCTTTTTATATGATAGTTCTATCTCGTATATTACTTTTTCTTTATAATATTGCAAGTACATTCTACATATTATCGGTGCATGACATCATGAAACGACGTCAAACAATACAATCTATCCAAAGATTATATGCATCAAAACGATACAATATAATACAATGCAATACTATACAATAAATTATGAAACGATACATAACAACCATCCAAACAAGAGATCTTATTACACAAGGGGTCGAATGGGGATAGTGAGAATTGAATCCGCACTTATTATGTAACAGTTTCTATCATTACAACTAGAGGGTAAGCTCTGACTGTGCCTTAATAAATCATCAATCCGAGGGCATGGCACGACACGAACACGAACACGAGTTCGACACAAGGGGCATGTCTTGTTTTTTGCTAACCAAGGAATAATACAAGCAACATGAAACCTATGACAGCAAGCAGGAAGTATCAGACAACACATATTACCTTGTTTAAATTCTGCTAAGCATATACAACAGTCATTATTTTTGCCTTTAATTTTTGGCCGATACCCTATTTTTTCCCCATCATCAAAATCATCTATCACTAATTCAATAGTTGCCACTAGATATGGGGTTTCCTGAGCTCTTTCTGGTGTCATAACACGAGCTCTCTCTGCCGTCACATTATGCAATCTTTCTGTTGTCACACTATGAGCTCTTTCTATTGTCACATTACTAGCTCTTTCTGTCATCACACTATGAGCTCTTTCTGTTGTCTCATTACGAGCTCTTTCTGTCATCACACTATGAGCTCTTTCTGTCATCACACTACTAGCTCTTTCTGTTGTCACATTACGAGCTCGAGCACGTTCTGTTGTCACATTATGAGCTCGAGCACTTTCTGTGGTGACATTACGAGCACTTTCTGTTGTCATATAACGAGTTCGAGCACTTTCTGTTGTCACATTACGAACTCGTTCTACTGTCACATTATGAGCTCTTTCTACTGTCACATTACGAGCTCGAGCTCTTTCTGTAATCACATTATTACGAGCTCCTTCTGTTGTCACAACACGAGCTCTTTCTGTTGTCATATTACGAGCTCTTTCTGTTGTTTCTTCATGACCTCGTGCTATTTCGGAGACATAATTCGATTGTGATCTTGATTCTTCAGAAAGACACATCAATATCATTGCTATGATCGAACATAGCAGTGACGAAACAACCAAGGAAGACAAATGTAAACATGAGATTTGACATCTTTTATGTGGTCGCAGAGGCAGATGGAGAAGAGTTCCAGCCTCCGTTGGTGGTGAAAAATGGTAGGGCAAGGATTTTGAGGATGGAAGAAGGCAACGTAAGGTTTTATAATTTTAAGTTGTTGATATAGAAATTTATTAGGATTTGAAGTAACCCGTCCGTTTAAGACGTATAAATTGATTGGGTCTTTAGTTTGATTTTTGGGTTTATGTTAAATAAAGTATGAGAATGTTTTACTATTTCACGAGATATCTTTTAAATAAAATATTATTAGGTCTTTATAAAAATTAAATTTTATTAGGTTTAATTTAGTAACTTTAATTAATTGCATCTGTCGTAATATATATTTATTCTGCACCCGTATTTGATTTATACCCCTGAATCCTCAATTTTATATAATAAAAGAAGGAATTAAAAACTTTAACTATGGTTAGGGTCTTATTTTATTCAATTAAATCTCATTCATTGATTTTTAACCATAACAAGTGTTTCCAATTCAAGTAATAACTTGGAGAAATGGAGAGAATAGTAAATGGAGAGTAGTTGGATCCCTGAATACCCCTATGAAATATATTCGTTCATATAATACTAACAAAACTGCTCTTATGCCTTGACCATTATTGGGTGATAATATCTAGGGATGACAATGGGGCGGGGCGGGTTTGGCAAACCCACAAAAATTTCAACCCGCTCCGCATAGTTATTTTTTCAGTTTTCAACCCGCCCGCCCCGCCCCACTTAATTTTTTTTCTTTTTTCTTTAATTTTTTTTCTAAAACAAACTAGTTTGACATTTTATTATTTTATTAAAATGGAGAATTTAATAGTATCGCATAAATATATAAGTGAGAGAGTATTACGCTCATCTTCCAAAATAAATGGTTACTATCATCGGAAAAGGGTTCAAAATGCTCCTAAACTAATGGAAAAGGTTTAAAAATACCCTTCATCCACCTATTGGGCTAAAAATATCCCTCCATCCACTTTTTGGTTCACTTATGCCATTTGACCGTTAGGTCAATGCTAAATTAAAAATTATTATTATTCTTTTTGTAAAGCGTAAAAAAATATTTTGCAAAATATTTTCGTTTTTCTAAACGAATGCACCAATAGTCCGCTAATTTAGTAAAATCTTCTTATTTTTTTGTCAGTTTTTACAAAAAAAATATTTTTTTTCATTTTTTTAGTTTTTTTAAAGCATTTTTTTTTGTAAAAACTGGAAAAGAAATTGTGAAAACAGAAAAAAAAATTATTTTTAATAAATATTTTCGTTTTTTAAAAACTGAAAAAAATATTTTCAACAAAATATTTTCGTTTTTGAAAAGTATTTTTTTTCATTTTTTCAGTTTTCTTAAAACATTTCGTTTTGTTTTCGTTTTTCAGTTATTTTTTTAAAAGAAAATTTTTTCGTTTTGTTTTTTAAAAACTGATTTTTTTTCAAAAACGAAAATATTTTTTTTAGTTTTTAAGAAACGAAAATATTTATTAAAACATCTTTTCGGTTTTTACAATTTTTTCAGTTTTTAGAAAAAAAAAGCTTTAAAAACTGGAAAAATGAAAAAAATATTTTTTTGTCAAAACTGAAAAAAAAAAAAAGAAGAATTTACTAAATTAGTGGACTACTGGTGCATTAGTTTAAAAAAACGAAAATATTTTGCGAAATATAGTTTTAGAAAAAGAAGTAATAATTATTTTTAATTCAGCATTGACCTAACGGTCAAAGGGCATAAGTAAACCAAAAAGGTGGATGGAGGGGTATTTTTAGCCCAATAGGTGGATGAAGGATATTTTTAAACCTTTTCTAATAATTTAAGGACATTTTGAACCCTTTTCCGTACTATCATTTTCTATTGGGTTGGTGGATTCAACTACCCTTGTCCAAGGAGTATCAATTGACGCCTCTTTGCTGGAAAATTATAGGTAAAAAGAATTTTATATATGTGTATTATATGTTGAATCCTTTTGACTTGTGTTTGCTTCATTATATTTTGACTCTCCTCGGGAAAATCCTGACTCCACTATAGTTGGTCTAGATAATTGGATTCCTGAATTCTTATTGACAATGAAACTAATGGCATCTAAGGATTAAGGCAGGATAAAGTTCAAAGAAAATGCTACCTTGTGTACTCTGCCTATTTGTTAGATCTTCAACAAATTTGGTTGTGATAGGTGCAATATCAACAATCAAAACATCCAAAGGGATCTATATCACAGTAATTTCTCACAAAACTAATCACTGCTGTGATTCAGCGACTTCTAATAAGCCTTAAGATGAACTTTTTGTAAAGTCATAGATCGAATCTGGATTTCTTCGAATTGATCCTCTGGGAGTCGAAGGGGAGCATTGAGCCTTAGAACAATGGTAAAGTTGTCTCCGTGCGACCTATATGTTATGGGTTCGAGCCATGAAATCAGCCACTAACGCTTGCATTAAGGTAGGCCGCCGTGAATCCCTTTTGAGTCCTCTGGTAGTCTAACACAATTGTCGCAACACAAGGCGCACTGAATGCACGGATATGTATGTCATTAGTAAAATTCTATACTTCAACTGATTCTCTGTTTAGCTCATGCACATAAGCTCTTCCTTGTGTAGCTTTCTACTATAAATCGCATCAACTTTAGTTAAATAACATGCTTCATGTAAAGAACAAGAACCATGATAGAAGGGCATAGGAAGTTACACTATCAGCAACCTAAAATGAAGTACAAACTTCACACCCGATAGAGAGAGCCATTTTGTTGCATATCCATAAAACGATACAAAGTTACAATAGGTTAAACTTGTGAGACCGATAGAGAGAGCCATTTTGTTGCATATCCATAAAACGATACAAAGTTACAATAGGTTGAACTTGTGATACCAGTATGTAATATCGCTAAGATCCAAGGAAATATAGGAAAAAGTTACATGGCCTATACTTGAATGCCTAATTTGAAACCTTCATACTAGCAAGAAACACATTGTAGTGAACTACACCAATACGTAGAAACAAGAATCCAAACCCTCATCTCTTCTTGAAACCATATTTTTTGCGTTCATAGAACAGATCTGTTTTAGCACTACCCAGATTGACAATCTTTGGACAACCATCCCTATCTTTCTCCTGCTGAGTACATTCTTTGCAATAATATGCATCAGAAATGCCCACACCTCCGCAGATGACACAACGGCCCTGAAATGATCCATAGTTGCATTCATCACAAACTCGGACAAGTGTGCAAGGACGCACATAGGAATCACAAATCACACACTTTCCATCACATTTCTCACAAAGTCGCCCAATAGCTATTCCTGGCTGCTTCCTGCACATGATCAAGTCAGGATGATGCTTGGCCATACTTCTTGAGGTGAGGTTTTAACCTGCAAAAGTAAAAACGAGGCAACAGTCGTTAGCAAACAGCTGACACAAGGCAAAAGAATGTACTTCAATCTATATGATTACATATTAGTGAGGCAGAAAGCATAGTATAACTAAAGCAAGACCGTAGAAGCAATAACCAATATAAGTAGAAAGACAAACATTATCTCCTGTAACATTTATAAGGCCTACAGATGAGAAGGAACAACTATGTCTCGATCCCAAGCTAGTCGGCTGATGAATTCTCAATATCATAATGCTCTCTGCTTGGGTCCATAATACTTCAAAACTCCATAATTAAGGATTATCTAACACTCGAAGTTCTCTAATATACTCTAGCGGCCCCAACTCTGAACCTCTGTTCGAAAAGTTACAAGAATCTTCATATCAAGTAACAACAAAAAAGAAGCCAAACTTGCCATGTAAAAAACTTCGACGCAGCCAGTCCAATGGGAACAGACATCTTTTAAAGCCTTTGCCGAGGCCATTTCTGCAACCTGGCAGAGTTGAAATGAAAGAATGTTACGGGTGATTACTCGATGGACAAGGTTAGTTAGTCTCTTAGTTACACAGGTATTATTTATACCCAATGTAAAGGGTTAACTAAACAGAGGATAACAAATAAAGAATTTTGTACTGTGAATATATTCTGCTATACCTCAAACCAAACATCCCCTAAAAATATTATAACAAGCACTAGTCTTCTAGTTTGTATCACCTATACAAAATTTTAACTTTCATTTTTTCCATCTTTTGCTAAATCTGCCTGGATTCCAAGATACAGATAAAAAGGAAAATGAAGAAAATAGCATCAGTGGTAGGATTGTCCAGATCAACTTTATTTCCATCAGATTTGACAATGCCTAAATGAAGATAGAACTAGCTCTAACATTGCCCCTCTCCTTTGGCTTCTATTCTTCTCACTTGACAAGGGTTCGTCACACATTATAGACAACAGTAAAACTTATGACTTCCATGAAGGAATTTTTTTTTTTGGGGGGGTGGTGGGGAACCCGGGGAAGATAGATGGTAACAACAAGGGAATGTTGGATCAGCTATTTGGTTCTCAAATTCTGGACTGCTTATCAACGAGAAAGCTCTCTCAGAATTTTTTTTTTTTTTTTTTTTTGATTTGCACCGGGTGTCCGAGTCTCTAAGAGACCCGACTAATCCCGGGGGTGCACAGGCCCTCGGCAAGGAGTTGCCCGCAAGTGCACCACGGTTAATTCAGGTATTTACCCAGTCCGATGGCCCTCAGAAATTGTTTTCACCCAGTGGGTTTCGAACTTGAGACCTTGAAAGGGAGCAAACCCCAAGGCTCAAGTCTATTGCCACCAGGCCAACCCCTAATATTCTGCATTTAAGTTTCGCATTCTTGCTAGTGACATCATGCCCTTTGCAAGCACAAAACAGCTTCTATGCACCACTCATCTTAATCCTCTCCACAAAAAATAACAATGGCATCCACATCAATCCTACCAGAAATTGATATGGTTAAACAGTTGATTGTTACTAGTCATTCTTCATGGTTAGTTAAGGCACAAGTTTTACAAACACCAATTACAATCCCAATCTTCGGATTCTTTAATAACATCATCAGCAAGTTCAATGCTTGCCAAGACTTATCCTACTTCGCATGAACCTATATCTAATTTGGTTCCACAAATAATCAACCTTTAACTCACCCTTTGGATTCTACTTCTTCACTATCTTTATCTAATTCTAATGATTAGGAATACCACAGGGCACAGAGAAACTGGACGTCCAAGTTCTTTTGAGTTTTGAACCTACACTTCAAATAATTTAATATAGCTGGATTCTCATATAGAGAATCACTTTCTTTTTTATGATGAAATTTTTACCTTCAAGTCAATAGGATAAAAAGTCCAGACACTTACTCCATAGTCTTAGTGGTTAATCTTCTCAACTTTGAACACCCATAGAAGCATCCCCTCCCCCAATTCCCTTTTTCCTTGACAGGCTATAAAAGAGACCTTCACATAAATATTTTCTAAACGATCTCGATTACTATTAAATGTAAAAAATCATTAAACCATGATAAATTGGTCAATAAAGTGGATTCAAATCCTAACAAAAAACAAAAAGATGCTCGGTGATTTCTTCTCATATGTCGAACCTTTAGTGAGCATAGTTTCCCGATAGCTGCACTAGTGGGAGGTAACAGGTACAAAGTACAGGTGAAGGCAAGCTAGCACAAAAACCACCATTAACGGAACAAAAAAACCAAACTTTAATAAGTTTATTTGGTTCTTTCACCAGCACATGACTAAGCCTATTGTAAGTTATCACGAAACAGTCGAGTTCATCATCTAGCATACACAGTAATTATTAATCTGGATAACTCTATAAGTGTAAAGCTCAATTTTTTTTATAAAAGTTAAATGCTTTTACTATTTCTAATTGAGGTTAACATTAATCCATAATTTACTTAAATCTGCTACTGCAACAAAAGTAAATTGGTATAATGCTCTGAACTCAATTACTAATACCTAAACCTAAAACTAAAGGTTACATAAAAAATCAGAATTTTAAAACATTTATTTACAAAATAAAGCATAACAAAACATTCTGAGTCTTGTTATTAACACACAAGCTAACTTTTTTATTATGATTTTAACTAATTCGTTGAATTCAAACACAAAACAAACGGAAAATCAAACAAAACATAATTAAATTAGCTAACAAATAACAACATGGAAAGATGTAAAGCGAACCTGATTCGAGGAATGAAGCTTCTGGAACCAAAAGCCACAGGGTTTTATCTGCAGAGAGTGAAAAATAGCTCAGCTGAGTATCGAAGATGACCCAAAAAAAATATTGAGGCCCGTGTATATATATAGTGGGCGAGAGGCGGTGGGCTTGCCCACTTGAGTTGCCCAAATCCATTATATGATTTGGGTTACGGGATCTGTACATAGATAGCCAATCAAATTTAGTAAAAATTGTGTGGGGTAGCTACTTTTTAAAATGATATTTACTTTTTATCCAGCATTTTCAATGCTTAGCAATAGTAGCCACTAGTTTAATTAAATGGCATAAGCTTTCTCTATTGCAGCCAACCGGATTTGCTCGGCAGCTTGCCATTTCAGTGCCTCAACGTAGCCGGAGTCGAACCGGGCGTCGGTGTAGTGATCCTGATGATGATTTACTGGCCTTATCATGACACCTTGATCTGGTGTTGGTGGTTTTATAGGTCTTACGAAAATTGAAAGTTGAAGGTCCAAAGATAGAGCTTCTGTTGATTCTCATGATCGGATATTAAAATTAAAGTTAAGGACACTTGGTCCTGAATTTAGACTAACAAGCTCATAAGTTAAGGACAATAGGTCCTGAACTTACAGTTACAAGTTCAAAAGTTAAGGACAATAGGTCCTGAAGTCCTGAACTTAGACTAACAAGCTCAAAAGTTAAGGACAATAGGTCCTGAAATTAGGCTAAGAAGCACAAAAATTAAGGACAATAGATCCTGAATTTAGACTAACAAGCTCAAAAGTTAAGGACAATAGGTCCTAAACTTAGACTAACAAGCTCAAAAGTTAAGGACACTTAGTCCTGAACTTACAGTTACAAGTTCAAAAATTAAGGACACTTGGTCCTGAACTTAGACTAACAAGCTCAAAAGTTAAGGACAATAGGTCCTGAACTTAGACTTACAAGTTCAAAAGTTAAGGACAAGTAGTCCTTAACTTAGAGTTACAAGCACACAACTTAAGGACAGGTGGTCCTGAACTTCGAGTTCCACGTTCAAAAGTTAAGCACATGTAGTACTAAAGTCCTGAACTTAGAGTTGCAAGTTCAAAAGTTAAGGACATGTAGTGCTGAAGTCCTAAACTTAGAGTTGCAAGTTCAAAAGTTAAGGACACTTGGTCCTGAACTTTTATGAGCAGAAGGGTGTTTTCGTCCGGGCAGGTAAAGTTTATTAAAGCAGTGGCTAAAGACTAAAGACATTTTAAACAGTGACTTAAAAGTAAATACACGTGTTAATAGTGGCTAACCGTGCACTTCCCCCTTAGATTTATTGCTTATTTTTTAGGGATTTTTACACGAATATCCCGTCGTATTCATTGTTTATTTTTTTTTATGCATATACATAGTTTATACATTGATGATACATAATTATAAACATATAATACATAAGTTATGCATATTATACATTCAGCAGCTATTTTTATTTTAAGCAATTTGGTGGGCGGATATTTGGGTGAATTCTTATATTTTTTAACCTTATTCATCGGTTATTTTAATTTAAAAAGTTAAGTGGATGACTATTTAGGTTAATTCCTCTACTTACTTAACATTACTAGCTTATGGATTTATTGGGATAGGAAAGGTAAATGACACCATGCAGCCACTTTTAAGCATGTTGTTTAATATGTATTTACAGTTTACAGTGTATTTAAAGATTAGCCGATTAGCTCAAACTTCAGGACATTACGTCTTGAAGTTTAAACTTCAAGGTTCAAACTTCAATACATCGTCTCCTAAAGTTCGAATATTGCATCCAGAAATTAGAATTTTATCTCCCAAATTTTAAATTAGCAATTTCAGGATACTTAGTCCTGAATTTTAAATTAACAGCTTAAAAATTTAGGACACTAAG